ACGCGACACTCAATTGTTTCATTCCTCGCAGCTACCTAGGCGTCGATACACTCTAGCACAATCATCGTGTCTGTCATAACTCGACTTGTGTGTCAGTGTGTCATACGGGCCCGCATCGATGGTAGCAAAAGTGACGACACGCATTACGCAATGACCCATGATCCACATGTAACGAGCTATATTTTACGTAATCTTCGTGACGTGTTCTCGATTTTCATTTTCGCGATTGATATCGATTAACGCGATCAATGATTTCAAACGATCGCGAGCGAACGTCGTTATCAGTGACGTCGTGACGCTAATGATCGCCGTCATTATCATCGCTCAGTTAAGCCAGGCGAAAGTCTCGGGTAATATTGAGCGAATTTTTCTTCGAGCTGTAAGCGCAATTTTTCTTCGAATACACACTTCCTGGTCTTATACTTCTTTCATTAATCACCATGCATTTGGTGCGCGAAAGAAAATTAATCGCGCACAGTATTTCTTAATTTATTATAAAATATATGAAAGAAATTATGAAAGCGAACTAACAATAAGTTAAAAATTTTTTAAAATTAATTTTATTACTTATTTTGTGTTATATCGATCTATAAAGTCGAAATATCTCAAAATAAAAAAAACATCAAAATTTTTGACTTATTGTTAGTCCACTTTTATAATCACCGGCACATATAACTGAATTTTTATACTCTGAGAGATAAAATGCTTCTTATTGCTCGATATTTTTATGTTACACATAAATTTTATATTGTTGCAAAACCATTTTTTCAATTATGCATTTAGAAATATCTTCAGGAAATTAGTGTAATTAAAATTATCTGTATAATTTTTATATATATAATGATAATGATTGTATAATAACGCAACAAAAAAGGCTATAAAATTTGCATTTCTAGAGAGATCTTAGATCTAACAAGCAAGTTACGAAATATTACGAAGATACGTGGACATTCGCAAGACCAGGATTTTACAATCTCATCTGGCGAATGCATCATTAACGACGCGGCGTCTCCCACGTTGATGTCGGATATACAATCGGTTCAAGGTTTCGTATTGTCATTGACTTACTGATTACGTTCAGTAGATACAATAATCGAACGATCGGTTTTTGGAAAACAAATCTAATGGGTAAATCTAGAAGTATACAATCATAGACGTTTATGACCTATCAGTTGCACAATCTTTGTGCTTTTCGAGTACGATTGCCGCGTATTAAGTCAAATAGAGACATTATGTTCAATATAATTATATACTATACATGAAAACAATTATACTTTCCCCGTTTAAGTTTCTCTAGTTAATTCAATGATAACTGATATCGAGCTATAATGCAGGCATTTTATGTCGTAAAAAATAAAAAAGATAAATTATTGTTAGCGCCTTTTAAGAGAGCAGCATTTTAGTTAATTAATTAACATCATTGAATTATGTATGTGCCAAAAATACTATTATCTTTTCTCAGCTGGTTTATTAAAACATAACGGCTCTATCAGCTATGTCACACAAACAATAGGTTTCAATTTCATTAACAGTATGCAAAAATTTTGAGAAATATAGCAAAATTTGCTTTTGTCATATTTCTTTTTTTATTCTCTCAAAATCTTGATTTAATACAGACTTTTCGAAGCCGAGTGTGGATTTAGCGGATGAAACAGAAAACGGAGAACACGGATTGCAGGAGAAAATGTCGTTTGCAAAAATATAACATCAACAAAGTAATAGATCTTGCGAGCGAAATCGCATGCAGAATAGGAGAGATTTTTAGCATGCTTAATATCCACTCGCATGCAGCGACAGGATATCGGTTATTAAAGATTGGGAAAAGTTTAGTCACCGCGACAGTGCTATTAAACCCGATTGCCACAGAACAAAGGAGGTCAATACCTTTTCCAAGGAATTCAATTCCAAGTTAGTCAAGGACTTACATGAGTTCGTACATGACAAGGACACACACCTTATATCCAATCATCAGCATCTCTTCGACTCCGCACGAGCTTATCGAATACAAATAAATATGTATCGAAACGAGTGATTGCGAAATTCCTTCTTGATGTGGCCAGAGAGAAAGGGAGAAAAGCAGTAAACATTCAGCGAGTGGAAATTTACGGAATCTCCATTTGAATATCCAAATGTTCTTTTGCACTTTTCAACTTTCGATCAATCCTCAACTCTCAACTCTCAACTCCCAGTTATTCTCGCAACCTTTCATTGTTCAGTTTCGAATTCCGCCTCTTGCCTATAATTTAATCTCACGATTTCTACGGGAAAGATCTCTCCTTACAACCGGAGATTATATCCACGAATACTTTTCGACTCACGCTTCTTTCTTTTCCTAAAGGTCAAGGTCACGACGTGACATCGCGCCTCCGCTGCAATACTGTGGTTAAACGAAGACACGTCCCCATGTCCCAATTGCTGTTTTTGTGTCCTCGTTAGAAACGAGATTTGTTAATAATTGATCGTACAGGTATCCGAGAAGATCGAGAGAAAACGAAGACTTCCACGTCAATGATCAGTATAGAAAATAATCGATTGTTGAAAAAAAAGGACATTATTTTGTAAATAATAATGGTAATTATTAATTACTGCAATTTGCAATTGTCTTATATATTGCGCAAATAGTTATTAATTAATTCTATACGGTTTGACGTAATAACTCGTTTCTGCGCATTTGTTGTGACCTCAAGTAACATTTATTTTAAATTATGAGAGAGAGATATTTAACATATATTATCATACACATTTCTATGGGATACGCAGTGTATCTAGAAAATAACGGGATTAGAAATACGGGACACTATATTAATTCATTGATTGTATGCATAAAAATCAATCCAGCAAACGAAAATGGATTTGAAATGGATTCGTTTGGTCCGTGCCGAATTTAGATTCTGATTTTTTGAATCCATTTCTATCCAATTAAAGTTTCCGAATTTTTTAAATCTATTTTAATCCATGATGCAGGATTAAAATGACATGATTCTTCTTTCACTTTACTTAATTAATGATTAAGTACAACATGGATCATTCATACGGTAGTATTAGTCTAATTTAATATATAATGTTGAATTTTTTATCACATACATCGCGGCTCTATTAATAAGCAATCCTCGTGCAACTGTAAATTATTCTTATACTCATATTTCATATCATATATTTTTAAGAGCGCTTTCATTTATTTCGTTTTAAAAAAATCTGGTACAGAAAATAATTGAAACAAAATATTTCTATCTATTTGAATCCATTACAATGAATTGATTCAGAAACTGGTTGAGATGGATAAAAATGGTTTGAAAATTTCAATTCATTTTAATCCATTTTTGTTTGCTGAGAAGCATGTCTTTTCGATAATGTTGGATAAGGTCAACTAACACGTGGATAGGTTTCTGGAAGTTTGCTTTAGTAACCACAAATAGTAATCAAAACAACATAAACCGTTTATCGTTAACCCTAGAATCATTTTCTTTCTCTTTCTCCTCCTCCTTCCGCCTCCCCCCCCTCCCTCCCTCTCTCTTACAAACGTATCTTTTATGAGACTGCGGGGAAAAAGAATTTTGTTATCCAACGAAATCATTGTTGCTATTGCATGAAAATCACTTTGTTATAGGTAATAGCGACATAATTGGCAACTTTAACAAAATTTTTAAAATTATTGATTCGTAACAAATCTCTTTGCTGTCTATATATTAACTAACATATTCTTACGACAACGCAAAATTTGCTAGCATAGCATATATTATCTTATATATGAGATAAAAATATCACAATAAATTTCCAATTTCGCAACTTTTATCACAACGACAGAGAATATTTACGTGTTAGAATACCCGTTCAACAATATCGCGTGCGAGCATCGTTAGCGATCGGTTTCCTTAGATGCACAACGCTGTCTTTCCCAGTTACTCAGTATTCTCTGCTCATCGTGATTTCTGAGAATTTGGTGATCTACAATTTCGTTCCTCGAATTGCAGCATGCCTCATCGACACCTCGCGTTATATCGTTAAGTCATTTTCTCGGATCTCTTCTTATCTTGCGTGTTTTGCTAAAAAGATTTCAAATCAATTATCAATGACATTTCCTTCCACGAGCTTTGTAATACAAATCGTTTTACCAATTGCTTCTATTAATCGCGCAAATAGAGGAAACTTAAAATTATATGCAACCTTGAAAATCATTTCAGAAATTGCAACAATTAAAGATTTTAGAAATGAAAGAAAAATTATAATGTTAAACTCTAAATTTTCATTAAAAAAGAAAATAAGAGACGAAATTATCAAAAGAATCAGCAATGCAAATTTCCAAAATGTATCTTTCGTATCCATTTCATAAAAACTGAGAAAAAACAACTTGACAAACAACAAGATAAAAACAATATAAATTCAGCACGAACACGTAGCCTTGGCCGTTTTGCTTCTCATTTACTCCTTCAATTTTGAATTTATATTGACCTTTGATTATAATTTTTAATTTAATTTTTATTTAATATAAATTTAAATTAAAAATTAAAATTAATTAATAAGAATTAAGTATAATTTGGTCGTTTCTTCCAACGCGTTATTCAAATTCGACCCGGATATTCAAAGGCTAATTAGAAAGAAAGAAAGCGATGTAAGAAGATACTCTCGTTTATCGCATTTATAAATTGTGATGAGTAGTGAAGAGGGGCCTGTTATCCTTCGCGTTGCTGTCGTACGAAACGGCTTTTTGCATAAGTAGCCTTCCCTACCCTCCCACGCTAAGAACTTCCTCCTCGCTCCAGCACCTTTCTTGCCGGGCGCGATGCAACGCTTGCCCTTTCTCGCTCTCACCGCTTGGTGATTTTAATGTCTCGAGCCGAGCGCGCGCTTATTTCTTCTCTGTCATTCAGTCGTGTTTTCATATCTTCGCTCTTGCTTGGTGCGGCAATTCTGACGTGTTGAGCTGTTCTGAGTCTCTCTCTCCCTTTCTCTCTCTCTCTCTTTCTCTCTCGTTAGGCCAAGCTTAGCTGCATTGTCGCTCTCCCTCGAGAACGGCGACTCGACGCGGTGGTACCTCTCGCTTTCACTCGCCGCGTGGTTGCGCGAAGAGGAGGCTATCACGACCGTTCTCAGCGACGGGTCTCAGTATCCGCCGGAGAGTCGTTGGAGGTACGTGTTTAATTCTTGATGTCTTTGATACGACACCACGGCATCCGTGTAACACCTGAAAGAATAAGAGGCAGAGTGAGCACGAGCGGAAGATTCTTCATTGAATTACCGAATCTTCGTGCTGCACCGCGCCGATAGCGATCGCAAGGGCGGGAGAAACCGCGGCGTGCGCGGAAGAGGCACGCAGCTATAAGAGATATAAGAAGATACAGAGGACGATACCCGGAAAAACATAGAAATGGTGACAGTCGGCCGAGTCAAGTAAGAGTTAAATAATTAATCATTATATTACAATCGAATCTCTGTATTATTAGTACGTCGAGATGAGACAAACTCTCTATTCTTAAGACTTTCCCGCAGCATAGGAGAAATTATTAAGAATAGATTATTTTATATTCAATTATACAAAGAAACGTTAGAAATGTTAAAAATAGAGATTAAAACATAAAAAATAGCAGTGTTGAAAACAGAGATATTCGACTGTATTTTTAAAAAACAAAAATTACTCTTTGAAGTGCTAATTCTTCAAAAATTGCATTAATTATTGCACAATTATAAGAATTTAAAAGCACTGTGTGACAAAATTAAATTTCAAAATTATCACATATATGTGTAAATAGAAAAAAATTTTTAAATTGTTTTTTTTTTAATGACAAAAATTCTTTTGTAAGACACGTGCATTGATTGGCACTGATAATTTATTGATAGTTATGTGGGAAATGATTAGTGGGTTAACGTTTGTCACGAGGATGGTGTGTTCCGGAGTAGCGCATGTAAAAGTAACTTTCTAATAGTCCAACGATACTCATTCACTTAAGTGAATGGACTTATTTTCAATTTTTTTATTATTCTGAATAAAACTATAAGTTCTAAACGTAATATATTCACACTTGTGAGAAAATTATTACAACAATGTACAATTCAGAAATAGAAAACAATCTGTTATTATTGTGTTTTTTCTCTTCTACGGTTTGTTTTATACATCATTATATCAACGAATAAAAGCGCATTTGCAAACATGCAGCATTTAAAAAATTTTTTTATTTTTAATTAGTACCTAATATATGTGCATACACAATTATTTTATCTATAATATATTCAACATTTATATTATGTAAATTTTACAAAAAAATTTAAAAGAAAAATTTCTATTTTTATATAATTGAGTCACTGGAGCTTGCGAAATTTTGGTTAGTTGAAGAAAACTCCCTTGTTCGAGTGTAGACCGAGAATTCAAGTAGTACAAGTCGCTAATTAGTCAGACGCTCCCATTTTACGTCGTCAAAATATTATTTACATTTAGATGGTTGCGTGGTAAAAGTCATCGATTAGAATAATCTTACAACTTTTACAATTTTTAATGTCAATGATTTTAACATGGAAAAGTTATAAGAATTCAAGAAGTGGATAAAGTTGAAGTTTTATCTTAAATTGGACAACGAAGATCTCTAAGTAAATGAGAAGATTCGAAATCAGCTTAATTTATTATTCAATGACTTGGAAATTTAATTTACATTGTTGTTTGACTTATATAATCATAGTTTGATAAACCATCTAATTCTAATTGCCTTCTCTGCCATTATTCGTCTTTGAAGAATCACACTTTACTGAATATAAATATTATTTATAGGCTATAAATTCTAAATAATAACCGGTTTTTTTTAAATTGGAATTCACGAAATTGATAATCATGAAATATTAAATCGAATAGCTAAATGGTCTATGAATATGAATCTGTAATCAATCAAAGATCGAGAATTGTTTATTACTCCAAACTTTGATTTGAGTGTTTTATACATAAAATTTCTAATTTTAATAAGTTTTCATACAGGATGTCTTATTTTAAAAAATGTTTATAAATATTTCGAAAGCGAGATATTTTCTGATGAATGAGAGAAGTTTCAGATGAATTTGGTTACCAAGACGACATAATGTGGTGACCCCAATTAGGCCTTGAATTCCATCAAGGCTAGGACAAGGTCAACTTAAATTTTTCTCTTATATGTATTCAATTTTTCAAAATTTTTTTGCAGAAATTTCTTACTTATTATATCATCTTTTTATACTTTTTAATCCAAACAACTTTTGTTTTAAACATTTTTTTATTTGGTCAATATTTTTTGAAAATTTTTTTTCTATGGAAAACGTGTCGTTCAAACGAGTTGTTCAATCTTTATAGTGATTTTTTCACTTTTTACTTGTGTTAAAATAATTTATATAATATATATATTTCTCAAATAAATTTAGAAATTGTGAAAATCAGAGAATGAGGATATATGAAGACTTTTTATAATATTCAATATATGTAAAGTATATTTTTATAATTACTTTATATAATTTACTTTCGAATTAATATTCAATAATTTTAGTGACTTTCTTCCATAAAATAATTGATGTATGTGGAAATACATAGGCTAAATATAATAGCAATAAAACATTTTATTATAAACAGGGAAAATGTTGCAAAACAATTTTTAAAAGAAAAATGTTGTTATAAAATATTCTAATTTGTTCTGTTTGCTCTTGCGCTCGCATCTTTGTGTATTTCTCGAATATTTCAGAGGAAGTGCGGTCACTTTTTAGAATCAATCACCGACGATCATATTATTGCAGAAAGAAAGTAACAGTGAAGTTTGAAAGTGCTATTATTCTTATCGTGACTACAATTATAAACATAATCGTTATTTCCACGTGGAATTCCGTGTGGTAACTAGTAATGTCTTTATTGCATAAATAGCTTTAAGTACTATTCGCCACAAAGCTCTATTTCTTGCGGTTTACAAGAAAAGAATTTCTTTTACTACATCGCAAACATAAATCATACTCCGTCAACCAGCTTAAATTTTAGAACAAGGAAGATACATCAGACACACGGAGTTATGTATTAAAATGCAATAGTGTTTTTTTTCCTAGTAGCAGTGAGACTATCATAAACGAAAATGAATAAATTATTTGCTGTCCGAACGATAGTAATTATTCTCTTGTAATGCCAACAGAAATACAACGATTATGATGGACGGTCCAACAATAATTATTACGTAGCAGCAAGGTTGTAAAAAAATATTAACCAGACAGAAGATTATCCAACGCCGGTTACAATTATCATTAGTTATTAGAACTCGACAAGGATATCTAGGATGCAAAAGAGTTTCTATAAATTCAGAAGAGAAGTGACGTCTTTAGTTACTCTAGAAATCATGATTAAAAATTCACCTGTCAGCACACGTCGGATCAGTCGTCAAAATTAAATTCCACAATCTTATTATGTATTGCGGATATTGAGATATCATCGTTTTCATCCGTATTATGTCAATTTCACGCAACAACTAGAAAAGAATAATTTAAATTGCAGATTACAATTCTGATATTGCACAATTCATATTTTTTTCTCTTATGTATTATTTTCTGATTGAGGTTACATTTAAAATTACAAGTGATCTAAATTAACGCAACAGCTATTATTCACTTTGCCTGGCAAAAATCGCTTTCATTTTATTTCAATTATCTCCAAAACTCATTAGCAGAACTTGTTGACGAAGATATTGATTTGAATGCGTAGCGAGAAATGAGGTATCATCATGCGACTACTACATGATGCAAAATTTTCTGAATATTTTCTCGGGCGTTAGATCGATTGTGGAGAATGTAAAACGGTCTTTCAAAAAAAAGATCTTTGGATTTAATATCGCTGGATTTTTTCTACTTTCTACCCGTTTCAACCAACAATTAAAATATTAGAAAATTTTATTTACAGACTTTGTAAATTCGATTTTTGTTTTACTATTTATAACAAGAATGGCGGTATTTAGGATCGCTAGGAGATTGTACGGACGTATAACACCGTGCTTACGTTCTTATACAAACAAGCGTCACGCGAATCATGCACTTTCTCTCTCTCGAGGCTACCGGTGATGAGTTCCTCACTCTGTCCACATTACTGTCGCAATCTTGCCCATATCTTCGTATAGAATAAATCTCACGCAAAAGAAAGATAGTATGCAGAAAGCAAGGAACCTTTTTCATGCACGGCACGACTGTTTCAGACATCTGTTTTCTTGTCCCGATCGCAGGATTAGACGATCGGTTGACCTTTATATATTATTGTATTAATATTTCGGAAATGGATCCAAATAAAACAACAGAGAATTATGTTTATTTTTTTGTTTTGTATAAAAAGAAGTTTAATTTTTATTTTAAAATTTGGAGTAATAAAAATGCAATAACATTTTGCAACGTCCGTCTTGGTTTATGTCGATTTGATCACTTGACCGATAAAACGTGATTTTTGAACATTATCTTTTCGTTTAGAGCTTGATCGTAGTGTGTTTACGTAATCATCGATATCTACAAAGTTCTCGATTAAGCGAGGCGAAACGTAAGCACGCGCGCGCGCACCGAATCGCTACTTTCTAAAACACGAAGAAGAGCTGAGCAAAAGCGCGAGTGTATGAGATTCGCTTTTCATTGATAATAGAATCTTTATTTTATAGAAAGTAAAGCTCTCTTTATAAGCACGCAATTACGCATGTACGAATATCGTCATTTTATTATCGGTCCTCCTTGTACACGCGTACGACGAACCAGTCGCCGATCCACCCAACATTGCCATCCATTTATAAATCCCGTCCTCTCCGGTCGGGATGAAAGTTCACGCCGTATACGAATTTCGAAAGTTTCTCCCTCCGTTCTCATTTATCGAAATCGTATGTGGACATTTCCGCAGTCTTAAGGTGCAGATGTGTCTTATTAATCGTCATATGAAACATTACGCCTCGGTCATATGATAAAAAGCTACGAGTAATTGCAATGCTTAACTTTCTCGCTGACAAATCTATGCATCGAGAGGTCATCTTCGCCTCTTCTTGGAACTTTTCTTTATACTTTTATTTATAATCTATTACATTTTATTTATAAATTTGTAAATCACCATGATAAAAAATATATAATACCTATTATAATTTATAATAAAATGCATTAAATTATTAACAATGATTATAAAAAAATTTCTATGTGAAATTAATGATGATGATAAAAAATTTTTAAAAATTGGATTTAATTTTAAATATCTAAAATAAAATAAAATTATTATTCGTAAAAAAAAATATTTTTTTAATGCGTTTTAACAAAGTCCTAATTTACCGGCTTCCTTTTTTTATCTGTATAAATTTTTTTGGTTAGTTTTTTGAGAAATTGAAAGTTTCTGACGTACAAGGTCTTTCTTTGTATTTACAAATCCGTTTCTTATTTTTCCGACGATTTAT